ACACGACCTTACTAATTTAAACGAAACTTACTTTGTCATATATGCTGATGATCTGACTGTATCACTGACTGCTCCAAACTTAATAGCTTGTTGTTGGATATCTGCAAGTGGTCTAAGTCAAATGGTCTTATGTTGAATCCTTCCAAATGTCAGGCAGTTAACTTCACTTTCAAGCATCGACGTGACATACATGAACTAGTTAGTTCCCATGATGCCTGTAGCATACATAGATGGCACTGAAATTGAAACCAAGTCAAGCAATAAATACCTTGGATTGGTTCTTTCTTCTGACCTTTCATGGTCATACCACTACATCTTATCCATCTCTAAGAAAATGTTTCAGCTACAACCTTCGTCGGGCTCACCAATTGTTGTGCTGCTATATTTTGACTAAACTAGAGTTCACGTTTATTCTAGTACTTCCTCGCGTTCATAATTGTGTGCCAACGTTGTGATTACTCGACGTCCACAACGTAATTCAAAAGGCACTTGCGAAGGAATACGATAGTGTATTATTGCAGCAATCAAAATTCAAAAATCGAGCGAGTACAAAAGTATCAATTGTTAACATGCAAGATTTAGAGTAATAAACAAATCGAAGTACAATTACACAATGAAAGTATACTGCGATGATGAGTAATAAAACGGGTCACTACACCTTCTACAATAATGAATTAAAACAATCAGGTATCAACCAACCTTTACTTCTGCAGTTTGTAAACTCCTGTATTTTACCTATTGTACTCTATTGCTCTCCATTAATCTTTCCTGGGCTTCTCAAAAAAGACTGTATCATATTACGAAGCGTATTGAATGCTGTGAGTAGGGCTTGTGGTATACCACTGCGTGAGCTCGCCAATACTATAGTCGAGAGACACATAAATTCCTGTACAAAGTAGGCAAGGCGGTACTGTCAGACCCACTGCACCCCCTCGCTTTATTCACAACTATTTCCTTGCATCTCATCAGGTAGGTCGAGAAGTCATTAATATAAGAAGTTATATGCTCGAACCACTAAGTACAAATATTCCATAATGCCCTACTTAGACCGCATTTTATGTGATGAAGATCTTGTTAGACGTGAAACATATAAGTAGTTATTATGAAATTAGCAAAGTGAATCGACCCTTTCACCGTTCGTTCATCTTTCTGTAATTTTATGGTGTCACCTCTTTTATCGTTTAATTATAAATTTGCTATTCTATGTTCAGTTGTTATTACTATTATTACTACAATCTTATACTTTATGCATATATTTCTCCGTAACGCATACAGAAATTTGCGAAATAGCTGCTATAACAATGTTTTGTTGTTATTTGTATTATGTCATGTTTACTTTTTTTATTTTTTGTCGTTTTTGAGTAAATTAGATGCAATACTGTACTGAATGCTGAAAATTCCTTGCTGTATCATTAGTACTGTTTTTGAAATAAAGCAAATTACTATTATTATTATTATTATGAATATAATTTCTTATAGATTTGATCTGACCTGTTCCGTAGCCGTACCAGCTATTCACACATCTCAGATGTTCTTAAACTTAAGCATGAGAACTATCTGCTATCCAGAGACTTTGCTTTCCTCAATTCAATTTTCATCAGTGACTCCCTTCAAACATTTATTAACAACATAACTAAGTCATCAGAATGAACATCATTTGTTTGGATGTAACAATTTAGCAGACTAGTGCGAATAACGCTTCGACATTTGATATATAAACATATACATATATAATGGGTACAGGTTACGAGCCCCGGTGGGAATACGATAACACCTAGCATATTCGGTTGATGCATTTTCGATAGGATGCAGAGTTTATGTGGCCTAGATTCCATCATCGACCAACCAACACTCCATTCCAGTTCTCTACTCGGTAATTCAATGATAAGTCACATAGCAAAATGAAAAGTGTGATAACGAAGAAGAACTCGAAGGGGAATTATCAGTTTTGTTTTGTACCTGAAACCTGTATTACACACACACCTTGAAATCAGACATTAGTTGCATTCACTCCACGTCAAGTCACGTCACGTCACTTAAGAAAATATCAATTTTGTAATGAAAACCATATTTAATTACAATCTGTTTCTTTTGAACAATGACAAACACAAGAGCTTGATGAAAATGACAACAACAACAGTCAGGTGATCAGTTGAAATACACACACAATGTTGACGACAAGTTTCCAGAATGACTGATGCCATCACACATAGTGAGTAAGTTTTATGTCTTCTACAACACTATTCTGTTAGATTGTTGACCTGAACACAAAATGTATATATGGCGTTCACTTCACTTCAGTCTTAATTTTTCGAGGCATCGTCTCTCTGAAATCCTCCGAAATGCACCCATGTAGTTTATTGAATGTAACTTTCAATCCACCAACAATTTTCTGATACATGGATGAGAAATGTGCAAAAATTTGTTCGGATGCTTTAAAGCAAACAAGATAAATAACTATATCGCTGAATTCTCTGATATCATTTATAAACCAGAAAACTGTAGTTAAATACAGGAAAGTACCTGCTATCCATTCTTGTGATTTCAAAATATATATCCTAGCCAGTAAGTAGAATGCACCATGTGGCACTGCTACACAAATGAATGTAACTGATGATATTAATAGTAAAATAGAAATTCTCAGTTGCTTACGCTCTACCTGAGTTAATTTAATTTTCGAAGCGCCATGCCTCTGTTTACGAATTTTGATAACAAAAGTTAAATCCAAAATAATTAGTAGTATATTCTGCACAGGACCAAGATTCGATAGTAGAGCTTGATAAATCGGTAAGCCCACATAGTGTGGATTATACCAACATCTGATTTTACCATTGCTTGTAAACCAATCAGCGTATATTGCAAATGGAAGCATTAGAATAGCACTGACAATAATAATTATACCATAAATACGCCATGCATAACGATTTGAACAGCTTTTATACTTTACTGGCGTGCAAATAGCTAAACACCGGCACAGTGAAGCACACACTCGCATATTACACATTGCTGTACAAGAAAATGTGTAGACAAAACGATAAAGCCGACAGGTGAACGGAGAAATAAATATAAATGTGAAGTATGTCTTTCCATTTGTTGCATAGGGTAGACCAACAGAAGGAAATTGGCGTAACCAGACAAACACACCATTCGATATGACACTGAATAAACAGACACCGGATATGTAAATCATTTGTTTCGATACTTTACTGGCTTTCAGTGTGATTGATACACAGATCAATAGATTGAATATTGCTGTGAACACAGTGACAACTGGCAGTATATAACCTGACCAGAAACCGATAAATTGAGCAAGAGAACATTTTAACTGCTGGCTATGAGACCAATTACTCTGCTTGAGTTTATCACACGGTCGAAAAATTACCCAAGGCGCGTCTGAATAATTCATAATCGACAGTGATAGACAAAGAGTGTAGCAATTGCTTTCAAATAATCCCACCTCCGTTGATGTATACTAGATAAGCTGTGTGATGCATAGATTTACGAGTAGTATAAATGTGAATGTACATTTCTGCTGACTTCTATGATTAATTGTGTCTTGTATATGTAAGTGGATTTCATCTGTCAGTTTGGAAGGAACTGAGCATATGCACATTTTAATCTCGACAGTTGAGACATATTTATACTTCTTCTTCCTGCTCCACCTCCCGCTCATCGTCATTGTTGAATGTTGACGCAGTTTTCACACTGATATTAATCTTATCGTAATGAAAGTGTTTTTGTGGTTTAATCCCAGTAAAATGTGCCATGAAAATTGAAAAAGCCAAAAATATGCATATAAATTATTAATATCAAATGTTTCGTCTAACTAACTAACTAACTAAAAATACAGTAGACAGACGTTTGGGCGTAAATGCATAGAATCTTAATTTCAGGTAATTCAAAAACAAAAACCATAAACCCAGGCCCAGATCCAGACCCAGTGAACATGAAATGTAACTGCAATCATTACCTGATATAGAGTAGTGTGAACAACAGTGGATTAGCTTTACGTATTATTGCAACATATTACGAATAATATTCTAATTCTTCAGAGAGAAAGCTTTGGTGAATGTCAAAGATATGATTCCCGAAATGACAGCGAAATAACTGTGTCTCTATACGATAAAATCTTCTGTATGTGAAGCTTGTTATACAAGGGGAGCGTAGTAGACGGGTGAACGTCAGAGTGAATGAACAGAGACTGTGCACGAAAGGTCCAACCAGAACTGAACTGAAGTGAAACTAGATGATTTTGAGCGAACAACTGCTTTCGATGAATTCTTCTTCAGGCTCTACAGCTATAAATCCATGATTATATATACATTATATATGTTTTATGTATATATATATATATATACAAACTGGTTCAGAAATGAAAATAGGTCTGTATTTTTGAATTTAAAGTGATTGACAGATAAAATAGAATCCATCAGTCATTGGTGTAATGATCGTGTTATTCACTATTCTATACGCCCTACTTTCTCACTATACGACTAATATTTCTCGAAAAATTTCAAATTTCCTGATAAAAGCGTGACCTGGAAGCAAGCTATCTCTACAGGAACAGAATATATTCTAACAACTTTATTTTATACATTATGTTGATAAGTGAAGTTAGCCTTTATTAAGGCTATTCACTGTACTGTACTGTTCCCCTGCTGACATGATTTGACAAAACAATTCCTCTTCTCAGACAGACAGACAGAAATGTTATGTATTCATATGCAAATAACACACCACTCAATTTCTCCGACTATCCATATAAAGTCTTTCAACAGTGTGATTTGTTGAGATTGAATTGGTCATATGGTCAAAGTGTGAAATGCGGTGTCTCCACGTTTGTCTCAATTTGGTGCGCTTATGTTCTACCCTTCTCCAGTTTAATCAGTGTGCTAACAAACTTGTTCATTGCACTGTATGCTCTCTCGAGGCCATTGAAAGTGCCCAGACAAATTATCTACATCTCAGGAATATGTTTGTCCAGTTCAATTGCAAATATCATGTTTATATGGTTGTGGCAGTTACCAGTGAGAGGTTTAACATATGCCTCCGCGGGGCAGATATTCTTTTCAATTGTCAATGTATCACCGACTGCATGTCGTCTTCAACGGTATACTTATGCATTCAGTGCAACAATGATGTGTAATATGCATATATGTGCTTCATTGGATCGATGTCTTGTTATATACATTCCAACTAGAATGAAGCACTTTTCCAATGTTTTCGGATGGTATATTTATATTGGGATTTTCTTGTTGAGTGCAATCATGATGCTACCGTTTGTTATTAAGGTGGACTGGCGATTAGCAGATCAGCGTATTCTCTGTTGGGTTGATCGAAAAGATGTATTTGCGCAAACCTATCATACAATGTTTTCCAATTTAGCCCCAGTACAAACACTCGTCTTGTTAACAATTGATTTAGTCTTTCTGTTGAAGATACGTAAACAGTTGAATAAATATTCGCTGACAAAATTGACAACAACAGACAGAGATCATTTACGACGTTCCCTGCTACTCTTCATATCATCCGTCTCTTTCATTATTATATCAATATGTCAAAGTGTTTTCTACATGATAGCAAGATTCAGCTCAACTGGACTTATCTCCTATCAAACTGGTGTTGATTATGATATCGGTGATTTTTTCTGGTATCTCAATTCTGTGCGTGAACTATTAGACATCTACATTTACTTTAAATGCTTCAAATCGCTTCGAGATTGTTTGAAACGCGTTTCACACAGCTTACCGAAAATCTCATCAAAAGCGAAACTGTCCAGCTCCACATGATCATGATCATGATGAATACACATGAGTTTGGATTTCGTTGAGCTGAGCGTTTCTACACCGAAAGAACGAATACTTTATTGATAACACTCAAGCCGTCATTGAATGTTCGAAGGTGGTTTACATTTGCATTGAGGTGCGTGTTTTCTATATAAGTGAAATATGATTTTTCACTTAGGCTGTTATAAATTGTCTACTTTATGTAAACATTTCATTTGTAGTACACATATAGGATAGGGAAGTGAATGAATTATATATTTGGGAAGATTTACTCTTTCTATATTATCTATATCATTAATTGCATAGAAGGCTCGATCCTGTCACAGTTGGTCGAGACTACTGGACATCGAATCGATGTCAACACAGCCTTCAGGGTTATATTTCGAATTCCGAAGTCGTTATCACGTACAGTTCACTTACGTCCCCTACACACATAGCTGAAGCTGTTGTAATAAGATAGACTAAACCGGGAGTTTGTATCCAGAATGAACTCGTCCAGACACTGATCCAACCGTGGGAAAACTTGGAATGATGAATCTTCTTATCACTAAGAGTGCTTCTTCCCCTTAACCCTCTTGGAATTTTCTTTCCTTTGCTGGTTATTACAATTATTATTACAATTTATTATTGTCATTATTCGTCATAATTTCTGCCCTTCATGCAAACATTCTCTCTACACTATAGAATTTTTTATTTATACTATACGGATTTCTTATTAGTAGTTACATTATCGCTTTTCTCAATATATGCCTCAACCTTATATATGTCCAAACCATGTTCCCTTTTTAACAGTTTGAAGTAATTTGGGCATTGAATATATGATATTCATTATAATCAAGGTTGTTCTTTTTGTGTTTCCCAATGAATGAAAACAAAATGATGTTGCTGTTTTTACTGACGTTTCGCTATTTTAAGTGCTAATAGCTTTATCAAAGCTGTATTGTTAAACCAGAATTTACAAAATCCACTCAGCATATGTATAACAAAGAGTTAAGAGGTGAGAAAATAGACTTAGGTCAAGTTAATGGGACATATTGAATGTCAAAATAACAATGAAAATCACTAAACCAAATAACAAAGGTAATAACACATTTGTTATGATATCAAAATAAAGTTTACTAAGTTGATCATCGTTCGTCTGTCTGGGGTTATTTTTCGTTGTCAAGTTTGTCAATTGGTAAAGATAACAAAACCAAGTGTAGATGATTATTGGATTTGATCAGTGTGGAAAATTATATGAGCAGTGTGTGTTTGCATAGTGAACTTGCTTATCACATTCGTGTTGATTTTGTCACTTCATGGAGTAGGGTTTTAGGGTGTTGTTACCAGGTCAGATTCTGTTTTAGTCCATCATTCCTATTCAGTTCAGACAATTTGGATTCCACTTGATATGAAGTGCTTCTGATGATATGAGACCTTCATTGTGATTTCTGGAATGCTTTTTCTGGATGACGATTTCAATATAGTCAGAATCAATTTTATGGCCTGATTCCACAGAGTAGAGTGTAGACGAGCTATGACTGGCTTATGATTTTTCAAGTTTTTCTAGTTCAACTGGATTTATTTCTCGGTGGTCGAACAGATGCTCTATAATGTTCATTTTTTCTGATTTTGATTTCTCTCCAGCGATGTTTTTCCAATCTATATTGAATCACATTCCAAGGAAGCATTTTATTTCACAGACACAATTAGATATAGAATCTTTAGGGATTTGGGGTTTTATATGGACAAGTTTGTTTCGCAGTGTGCCTGTCTGGTGTTTTGAAGAAAACTCTAATGTCGAACTGATTGAGTACTCTTCTGATATCGTCTGATGTCTCTGCTCTATATGGAATGACGACTGTTGAGGGCCGTAATTTTGGAATGCGTTTTCGACCATACTTCATGTCAGTGTTGATTTTGTTGATGAACTTCCTTGGGTAGTTCTTTTGCTTGATGAGAGTTTCAGTAATGTTTGATATTTCTTCTTCCGCTTTTTCTTTCTCATCTGTTAACATGAGAGCGTGTGGTCGACTAAGAAGACTTGAAACAACTGAAATCTTTGCGCTGATGGGGTGTGATGATCTGAAGTCTAAATATTCATTGGAGTGGGTTTTCTTCCTGAATACGGATATAGAAAAATGTTCTTTTTCCCTCCTCTTAACTAGCGAGGCAGTCTAGAAATGGTAGTTCACCAACGTCTTATTCTGCCTGCATCTGAAGTGAAGTGGATTCTGGGAGATAGATTGATCAGTTTCCCTAGTAAAAAACTGTGTAGATCTCGTTTAAGCAGTACAAAAGTATCATCTATATATCTTAACAATATTGTAGGAGTGCGTATGCTTGAAAAGATGTTATTTTCGAATCTATTCATGAAAAGATCAGCGACTATTATGTGAAAGACTGGTGAACCCATAGCAGCACCATTTGTCTGTCTATATAAACTCCCTTTAAAAGTAAAATAATTACATTCTAGACAGAATTTCAAGCTCTTACTTATTTCACTGGTGTCCAGTGGACATCTTTTTGATAGCGTTGTATCTGATTCTAGTAGACTGGAAATGATATCAAGACTTTCAGTAATAGGGATGGATACTAGTATATGGTGAGTTAATATCATAGCTAACCATAATGTCTTCTTTATTAGTTTCTCGGTATTCTATTTGGGACTTGAAATCATATGAATATTTTACAATATCTTATGTGTCCTTTTACAGTGGTTGTAGTACCAAGAGTAAGTATTTAGAGAGGTTGTATGTCGGTGAGTTGGTGAAATCTATTACTGGTCCCAATGGAACGGTGGGTTTGTGTGTCTTTGGTTAACCGTAGAATCTGGAAGGTACATAGGATTTTGGTTTTAGTTTTGACCACAGAGAATTTCCCATTTTGGGTTTCATTTCTTGAAGGAGTCTGTTTGTATTTAGTTTCATTTTGTTGAATTCGATGAATTTCTTCTTCTCTTCAATGTGTAAGTATGTTCCTTCAGATAGGAGGTGTTCAATCGCCTTCTTTTCATAATCCGTTCTGTTCATTATCATAGTGACGTTTCCCATGTCGGCTTTCGTTATAACGATGCTTTTGTCTATCTTCAAATTCTTGTTTGGTGAGATTGGATGGTATGTTTCGTTGTGTCATTGATATGTGTGATATCTTTTGACGAACAGATTGTTATTCTTCCTTCGTTGGTGAATTGTTGTAGAGCAGGTTCGATCATAGGTGCTATTTCCTGGACTGGACCGACAATAGCTTTCTAATGATATTGAAATTCAGACATTTCGGTAGTAGTGCGATTTCAGTTTCCGTTAGAATCTTGTCTGACATGTTGTTATGTATGCCTCTAATATTCTTCATATCGTTTGCTGAGGTTTCCTTTAGTTGTTGGTTTATTTTCTTCGAGTTTCAAGAATTTCTTTATGTATTTGTCTTCTTTTAGTGACATTATGAAAATGCGATTCTCGTTCGTTAAACAATTTTTGAAAGGATTCATAGATATGGCTTGTAAGAAGTATTGTTAAACAATCGTCTATATTTCTGATTCTCGTTCGATAAGACTGAAGTTTGACGATGCAGTTATGTATTATTTCTCGCACAAATACTTTGAAGGTATGATTTGCAGCAGGTATTGAATTGTGTGAATATTCAAGAGGTTTAACTCGTAGCGAATTCGGAATAATTCCACTTTGTGGACAGCGTGCGTGAACTGATTTAAATTTTCTTTTCCATGAGTGATAGAATTGAGTCTCCCGGTAACCATCTTCACATATGTATTCATCATTTTCTATTGACTTGGATTCTAAACTTTCTGGTTACATGATCTACATTTTATTAGATGGTATATTTGGTCTATATTAACATGTTTGTTAATTGCATGTTCGTTTGAATACCAGGCTTCTAGGAATTTCCTGACTACACTTATGATGGTGTTTCCTCCGTCTAAACTTTCGACATTATCCCAGTTATCAAACTGATGTCCATAATCATTTGTATGCATTGATATGAAACAGGAATATATATCATGTCTTTTCACAGCTGATTTGTGTTTCTGGATTCTAGTTCGAAGGGGACGCCCACTTCCACAACCGATGTAATGTCTGTCACAGTTCATACATGCAATTTATTTTGTAAATGGTATCAATTTCATCTTTTTTTCTGTTGAATGTGTCTTTTGGTTTGCACAATATCGAATGAAGTGATTGGACTGGCTGGCTTCTGTGCTATATTTGTTTCAAATGCTTTCAATATTCTAGCTGTTATTTCAGAGATATTGTTTCTCACATATGGTAGGATGAATTTTCTTGTGTTCTTAGATGATGGTTGCTTGTTGGTGTTGTGAATCGAGTTTAAACACTTTTGATGAAATTTTGTGGATATCCATTCTTTTTGAAGACCGTTATTCGGTATTTTTCTTCCATTCTTTTCAACGCTGGATTGCTACAGTGTGTTTGAACTCTCTTTTGAACAATGTCTACACACACTTTCCTTTGTGAGTGAGTAATTGGGTTATTGCTAGTATAGTTGAGTATTTGATCTGTGTGCATTGATTTTCTATATACGTTAATATAGACCAAATATACCAACTAATAAAATGTAGATCATGTGACCAGAAAGTGTACAATCCAAGTCAATAGAAAATGAAGAATACATATGTGAAGATGGTTACCGGGAGACTCAATTCTATCACTCATGAAAAAAAGAAAATTTAAATCAGTTCTCTTTATGGTAAAATTTGCGCTGAAGGACAATTTTGTCTAGGTGGGATTCGGGGACGACGAAAGATGCATTTTTACTATCGTGTTCAAATCAATATTCTTTTCGTTTAATCCTTTAGGAAATAACTGGAAATTCTAAAATTTTAAGATTTTAAACTTCTCAGTGGATAAATCGATGGATGTATGCAGCCATATGGTGCTGCTTTATACACATGGATAGCTTTTTACTGCTCACATCAACTTGAAGTACTTGCTTACAAGATCGAAATGATCGGAAATCACTGGGCGGTAGATCACATAATGTGATCTGAATAATTTTGGATTACTATGGAAATAGAATTAAGACAAGGCTGGCTGGCTGGCTGGTTGTCTGTTATCACCGACGATGATATTCTTAATTGCGGTGGACTCTATTAAGAGTCAG